ACATTTTCCTGGCTTCCTTACTAAACAGGTTTCGTTTATATTCTTCTAACTAAAAGTACTTCAGTGAGCTGTGAATGGCAGAAGGGAAAACCAGTCCTTACTTCCTGGCTACAGCTACAAGAGGACATTGACAGACTGCGCCATGTTTTCCCAGCAGCTTCCAAAAGCACCGCCGGGAGTCACCCACATCATGTCCAGGCACTGAGTTCATTGTGTTCTGCAACTGATTAATTTCCTGGTGTCTTGAGGCCAATAGAGGCTACACTGAACTTTGCTCCCTTCTCATTTATGTATGAAACATGTTACTGCTCAAAAAACTAGAGCTATGTTTGTTTTTCTCACCAAACCCAGACTAATAAAATTATAATCACATTTCCTTTTTGTGTTTTTTAAAAGATGTATTTATTTCAGACAGAGAGAGAGAGAGCATGAGTAGGAGGAGGGGCAGAGGGAAAGGGAGAGAGGAAACAGACTCCCCACTGACTGCAGAGCCCATTGCGGGAATCCTGACTGGGAGATCATGACGTCAGCTGAAACCGAGGGTCAGATGCTTAGCCGACTGAGCCACCCAGGTGCCCCAGGGATAATCATATTTCAACAACAGGTCACAGAGTCTTAAGTTACAGACCTAACACACAAATCTACACAGACGTGCATCAAGATCTACTCTTACATTAACAACTACTATACTGATTAGTCATTAGGATGCCAAATTGTAACTCATTAAAGTGGCATGTATCAGATAGTATATTTGCTATATAAATTATAAATTAATATTTTTAGATTTGAAATTATTATTAATAATAAATATTGGAAGATATATAACTGCAGGGAAAACGGATAACTTCTCATCACATGTAGTCAGGAAATTGGCAACAGAAGGTTTGCCGTGTGGATGGACGGATATATTCTATAGAATCTCCGACTGCACACTTATTAACAATGCTAAATTTGATAATGTGGTTGATTCCATACCTTGGATAATCTGACCCAATTCTTCTCTTGGGGAGTGAAGCTTATGTTCCCTCTCTCCTTACTCTCCCTTGATTTTCCTCATCGGAGAAAGAGCGACATCTCCCAGGGGAGATCAGAATGACTATTGGTGCTGATGTGTGGCCAGACTAGGTGCCCGCTTAGCTGTTGGCCATCTGAGCTTTTCCTCTTCTATGATCACCCTATTTGTATATTCTCTCTCTTTCTCTTTCCATGAAAATCAAGCACGCATTAGCGTAGTTTGTCTTCTCAGAACCTGGAACAGTGACTGGCACGGAGTGTTCAATAACTATTTGAGAAATGAATGAAGGAATAATCGGTTGGGCATTTTTTTAACTGATCAGCATAGTAAAATTCAACATCACTTTAGACTTCATAGCTCGCTGCTTGCTACTCCAGTTCTAGAAACACTACAAGAGGAGAGACATTAAAGTCATTCCAAGGTAGTAAGAGGAGATCAGAAGAAAGTGACATGTGACATTGCTCCTTTGGTAAGAAAATGCTGCCGGAAAGCAGCACTGTTATTCAGCACAAAATGTCTCTCGTCCCTGTCTCCAGGCATCCTGGGACTGTGCCTTCCTGAGCCATAGTAGCCGGGCCATACCACTAACACCTAATGGGAGCAGTATTAAATACACAAGGATGGATATGGCTGCAGTCCTGGGGAAATATGACACTTTTGTGCCAAACTGAGTTATTTCAAAGAATCAAATATTTAATGAGTACGTCACAGTTTCTGAAAACCTATCACAAGAGATGAAGTTAAGCCAGTCTCTCAAGAGTGATGGAGTGATAATAAAGTTAACACGTGGCTGGTTTTGCTGACCGTGTATCTGGATTCAGCGACCATTGGTTACTCTATAACCCTTGGATCTCTAGTGAGCCCTGCTTTGGGTTTAACTAAGTATAAAATAGGGAGAAATAATCCCAGACATTTCAAATTTTATAGAATTCAAATTCCAAAGCTTAAAGGCTTTGAAAAGACATTTAAAAACAGAGTTGAATCGGAAAAAATGTATCTCCCGCCTTTTGGCCTCTTGGCAAGGAAGATCATCCCTCAACTAATTAGTAGAAGAAATAAGCCTGCACTTTAACCTACTTACTTTTGGAATTAATCATCCCAAGTCTACCTATTTTAATTAAGTGTATTTAAGGCTCACACAAAGGGATTTAATTAGACTTAGATACAGTGCCAAGCTGGGAATCCCAGAAAGGGTACTTATGCCTTAAAAAAGCAGACCATCGTGGAGCAGGATTGACCTCATGCCCTCTGAGATGTAAATTCTGTGTTTCCCCTAAATATGCGAAAGTCTTGATTTGTTAAACCTAAAAATGTTCTTTTGGTTGATTTTGCCATTTAATCATTTTTTAATGATGTATTTGAATTGGAAGGTTATAATGGGAAAGGATCTTAAATTTTATCTAGTCCAATTCCCTTGTATTTCCTATAAGAAAACAGAATGTTTTAAAGAGTAAATGTCTTGTCTAAGTGGGAGATAAATTGTATAGTGACGGAGCTCAGCAGAGAATGTAGTTCTCTGGACTTCAGGATGAGTCCTGCAATTTACCACATTGCACATGGTGAACAGGAATTATCACCTGTTAAAGACGATCTATTCATTATTATTTGTTAATCACTTACACTTAATGATGGTAAAGACACTATTGAAAATGGAGCTATCTCATTTTCAAAAACCACACCCTGCTTAACAATTGTTTGGTTAAAATATTGTTGAAGTCGACCTTGACTCTTTGATTAGTTGCCTTTTTATGAACAATTCTTGATAAGTGGAATACCGTGCCATTACCTTCAACGAATGTACAATGTAGTAAGGCCAAAGCATGCCAAGAATATAGAAGAGAAATTGGGAGAAGACATCGAAAGCTAAGAATTATCAAATTTGCAGATGACACAAAGTTGGGGAATCAAAGTTAAATTTCTCATAATTTCAGATACTCTTCTGGGTATATAAGGAAATGCAGTACCTATGAACAAATAGACCTAACTCAGGCAGAGCCCCTGTGAGTCTCATATTCTAGATGGGGAGGTACTTAGAACACATCGTGGAAGGTGTTAAGATTTTCTGAATGTGTTTATTAAGGATGCCCACACAATCAGCTTGCAGAGGGAAGGTAAACAAAAGTTCGAGAAGGTTTTCTTGGTTTTTGCTTTTATTATAAGCTAGGAGTTTATTTTATTTTTAGGGCATTTATCACAATCATAATGAGTGTTTCAGCAATTCATTCATTGATTCATGCAATGTATATTGAGTATCTGTTATGTGTCAAGGGTCTTTCCATACCTTTCCATACCTTTCTGGGTATATAGATTGAACGAGCATGATCCCTGCATATGTATTCTAAAGCAGAAGCTAACTGAGAAATAAGAAATGATAACAATAATATAATCTCAATTAATCAGTCAGCACCATGAAGAAAAGTAAGACAGGTAAGACAGGATAAAGAGGACAGAAGTGACATGGAAGCTATTTCACATGGGAGAAACCTAAAAGTTCCCTTGGAAAGTGCTGTCTGAACAGAGACCTGAAGGTAGTCAGAGAAGGTGATAGGAAGGCATCTGGGAAAAGGAAGATTCGGACAGAAGGAACATCAAATGCAAAAGCCTGTGGGACTCGGCGTGGCAGGATTGCGTGAGTGATCATATTAACATCACACATAGTTTTCATGTTGAGTGCTTACTTAGAAAAGCCAGATACTTTTCTAAGCTTCTTTCATATATTAGCTCCTTTCATAATCACAGTAACCCAGTGAAATGGATATTTTATTGTTTTTCTCATTTTATAGATATTTAAATAGAGGCAGAGAGTATTAATAATTTTCTCAAGGTCAGACAGGTAGAAAGTATTTGTCCAATGAATGCAAGTATAGACAGAGGAGAGAAAACCTAAACAGCGAGTTGATGGAAATGAGGCTTGAGTTCTCCAGACTGCAAAAATGGAGAGTAAAGTTTGGAAGAGTGAAATTAGAGGCAGAAAATCGACTTAAGGGAACTTGGCAGTAATTCTGGCAAGAAATGATGTGGGGCTGATCTAAGGAAGCAGCTGTAGGAGTTGGCAGGAGACAATGATTTTGAGCAATGTGTAGGAGGTAGAACTTGTAAGAATTGGTGACTTAGAGGATATGAGTGATAAGGATTAGGACATAGGAAGAGTTTTTTAAAAGATATGGCAGATTGAAATAATGCAGCTTTCTTCCTGATTTTCTCAAATTATGGGAGCCTTGAATCTGAAATGCTGGACTTTTCACTCAATGTTAAAGTCCTAGAATTTTAGTTTCAGAAGGGATAATGTGGATATTATCATTTTATATCCTTGTTTAAGGATGAAAAGATATAGAGACCCAGTAGGCAAAGTGAGTGACCTGAAGTCATTTAACAGACGAAGGCAGAATCAATACGGAAAACCTAGTCTCTCATGGCTCCTACCTTAGGAGGAAATCTAAGTAGTTACGCATTTCAGAATACACCGGATTTTTTCTGACATCTTTCCCTCGTTTGGTATCATCCCCTAAAGTTCATTTGAATGTCCTGATAAATAATGCTGAGAAGGTTTGTTCATTTATTCTACAATCACCATTTATTCTATTGTCACCAGTATGGCAGGTGTCGTGTTAGGTCCAGGGATTGTCCCCTGTTTCTTCTGCCTCCTCCATATCTTATGAATTATAGCTGGCAGTAAGTTATTCTCTACCACACTTCCTTCACTTTTCCTTACAGAAAAGAGGATTTTTTATTCCTATACCAGTGCAAATAATGACTTCTTGGAAACAAAGTTCCTAGTAGACACTCAGGGAGTAACTAGCATCCTACACTATAGGAACATCTTGTCTGTGAACATCACTAAGAGAGTGACAAGGATGGTGCCTTGTCAGCTGTCAGGGCTGGTTATTTACAGACAGTCCCGCCCTCCACAGAGCAGTGAAGCTGTTTTTTTTTTTTTTTTAGAGAGACAGAGAATGAGGGTGGGGAAAGGGCAGAGGGAGAGAGGTTGAGGGAATGAATCTCAAGCAGGCTCCATGCCCAGCATGTGAGCCCAATGTGGGGCTTGATCTCACGACCCTGCGATCTTGACCTTAGCTTAAATAAAGAGTTGGACGCTTCACCTACTGAGCCACCTGGGCACCTCCCCCCACCCCCGAAGCTGATTTTTATGGAAATTCTAATCCTGGTGGAATCAGGGCATGCCTTCATCAAATCATCTCCCTGTCTCAAATTTATCATCATTCTTTGATGAGGTAAGTTTCTTACCATCAATGCAAGCTACCCCTAAGTAGGCTTTCCTGGGAAGAAGGTGGGGGAAAGATTAAATGCCAACGTTTTTTCAGTAAAGTATATGCAAAAACCTTTAACTACCCCCATAAATGGGACCTGTGATTATTTTGGAATGGGCCTATAATGGCAACACTAATGCCTATTTTTATAAGATTCTGCATCAGACTAACTACGCTCACAGTAAACTTGTCAGATGTCAACAACAGGGAGCTCTAATCTAGTTCCCAGGTTTATTAACTGCTGTGTCCTGTGGCATTTTCTCAGAATGACTGTATAACATGGAGCCAGAGGCCGCTTTTACTTCTAACATAAATACAAGAACAACCTTAATAAAACAGATGAATTACATTGCAGTGTAAATTAGACTGTTCTAATGGACTCCGGCGGCAAATGCAGTGAAATAGTAACCAGTGTGATCAGGTTTACTACACCAAAGACAGTGATCGTAAATCATGAAGGGCTGCCAATTTTTATTTTATTTCATTTTACTTTATTTTATTGGTTTTCCCATTCACATCTCTCACCTCTTGAGGGAGCAATTGATTTGCCCACAGACCACAGCTCCGTCTTCCACAGTCTGGGGTCAGCTTTTTCAGGGCTATGCTCAGAATCATAATGCAAATGCAGAGGAAGTCCACAAAACCCGATTAGCACATGCATTCTACAAAAATATTTGAGCCCAAGCATGGTGGAACTTAACATCGCTTCTTCTGAGGCATCAGATATAAAGTTTGAATTATCTGTGTGAAGGTGATATGTTCCCTAGATTGTAGGAGGTATCACACAAACGTATGTTTTGAAAATCCCTTTACAGCTGGTGTTGCTTGTTTTTTTGTTTTTGTTTTTGTTTAGAAGAAGCAAGAATTTTAGTGAATGCTGTAATAAAAGGGGTGTGAGACCTATTTTCAAGGATGGTTTTGGGAACCAAAGCACTGTTTTACAGAAGTGGCACTGGGGGTGAGGGGTTGAGAGGACACCAAGGAAAGTCACCATAGAAATGTTATTTTGGGGGAAAATAACCTTAATTTTTAAAAAGCAGGAAGCATGTTCAAAGTATCCAACCTAGCAGGTAAAAGGGGTAATCCAAGTGTAAAATACAAGGGCATAGATGGGGCAGGAGTAACTTCCGGGGGGGAAGGTGAGTGTTTGTAAACATTCCTCACTAGAACATCGACAAGAAAAGAAGTCAGTGATTTTTCCAAGGTAAAAAACAAAAAAACAAAAAAACAAAAAAAACTGTGAGCCCACCAGGGAGAGTACATGCCCCATGAGAAAGCATCAGGGTCACTGGACTCTCCTTTCGATGCCCAGTCTTGGGGACCAGAGGAAGGACTTGTGAGAAGAGCATATTGCCCAGCATTTGTATCAGCCTAGTCTCTAGGGTATTCACGCAGAAGAGGAGAGCTGAGAAGAGCGTAAAAATGGGTTGTTTCCCTGAAAGTACTGGGGCAAAGGCCACCTGTCCTTGGCAACATTTCTTTCAGAGCATAATGCATAGCAGAACAGGACCTTGGCTGTTGGCATCATAGTTAATATCAGGCAGATGCCTGGAGAGATGGCTTCTTTGTGGGAGAGACCTTCGTGGGACTAGCAGTTGTCTGCATGGAGATCGGAGATCATCTGCATTTCTACATATTCCCTGCCAGACCAAAAGATGCTCCACAGTGGGACCTGTGCCCAGATCATCTCTGCAGCTTGAGACCCATCACAGAACAGAGCGCAGAGCCTACGTTCTGTAAATAGGCACTAAATCCTTTTCTGAAGGGGAGAACTAGGGAAAAAACACAGGCTTGCACAGCACTCAGGGATAGGACCTACCAGGAAAACTTATCTCCATGCTGAATATGTCCAGAGCAGGCCAGAAGGACCGAGAAGTGATTTTGGTGGTTGTGCTTTGCAAAAAAAAAAAAAAAAAGAAGAAGAAGAAGAATGGCCTGAAGTTTCGACAGGCATAGGGTAACTGGCTGTGTCTCTCTCAAAGTGCATCTGCAGCAGATAATTTGACAAGGAAAAGAGATGTGCTCTGTGAAGGCCACATACTGTGGGCCATTTGCAAGGGACTAACTATATGAGCAAGAGTTTGTGGACCCCTCTGCTGGGGGTTGTGCTGAAGACCACCCAGAACACTGGGAAGGAGAGGAGAGATGGCCAGGTTCAAGAACCTACTGGAATCAAAGTAGGTAATGAGCACAATTGTCTTAACCCAGGCAAGGAATCAGCAACATCTGTGTCACCATCAGCTCCAGCCCTGCAGAGCAGATGATGTCTAGGACAATCCTCTCTTAATCTACGTGGAGAAATTTAGTCAGAGGCCGGGATGAACCAAAATAAATGGCAGATCTAGGCTTGAAAATCCAGTCTCTTGACTTATATATTTCTCAGTTCCTTCAATTCTTCATTTTTTTTTAATTCTTATATAAAACTTGATGCTACCAAGTGAACTAAGAATCAAAGTTAGAGGCTCTGCTTTCTGTCTCATGTCCTGTCATTTATTTTTAGAAGAGGTAAGAATAAATCCTGATAAAAATGTGATTCCCTCGGGGCGCCTGGGTGGCTCAGTCGTTAAGCGTTTGCCTTCGGCTCAGGTCATGATCCCAGGATTCTGGGATCGAGTCCCACATCGGGCTTCCTGCTCGGCAGGAAGCCTGCTTCTCCCTCTCCTGCTCCCCCTGCTTGTGTTCCCTCTCTCGCTGTGTTTCTCCGTCAAATAAATAAATAAAATCTTTAAAAAAAAATGTGATTCCCTCATTTGCTTAATAAATATTTATTGAGTTTCAACTTTGATTCTGGCCCTGTGCTTCAGGCTGAGATGACTTGTACCCAGGTTCCCCTTCGATCTACAAGTAGACATGCTTGCTCATGGATTTAGTGGAAAGAGATGCCATGACTTTTGGACAAAAATTACGGACACAATGCAATTCAAATCCAGGGTTAATTCTGAAGTCATTCATATGGAATAAAAATGTGTAGGCTACTTTTGGGGGTGCCAATGGAGTGAAAACCCCAATAAGGCCAAAAGGGTACTGTGTTACTGTTCTTGGTGCGTTCTTAATCCACTTTGCGGTTCCTTTGTGCTAAGCAGCTGGGTTGAAGGATTTCACCTTCAAGATCAAAAGACAATTGGGAAGTGAGGAAAGAGAATTGTGGGTACCAAGGACGAAGTTGCTGACAAAGACCAAAGTTTAAATAAAACATGGTCGGTGGAGATGAATCGATACTTTATTTGTTAAGGAGAAGTAAAAGTACAAAAAGGCTTGTACAACAGAGCATGAGAAAAGTGGGAAATCAATTTGACTTAATTCAGAATGCTTGAAGAGTCACCTATGTAATTATGTGTGAATAATTCAGGAACAGGAATTTATTGCAGACACACACTGTTTGGTTTGGATTTAGCACTGCCCCTCGATTGACCTAAATCCTGCAAAAAATGATATTCAACTAATTGAAATAATATATGATATTCAACTAATTCTCAAGTAAGACAATGCCTCGGGGGGATTCCAATAATAGAATTTGGACAATGAAGTATCAGATAAAATTTATTTAAATGGTGCAGTGTTATAGCACATTAGCTATGATGAATGAAGATGCCTTAGTTGTTCATTGTCACAGGTGAGAAATGAAATGGGAAGCAAAGGAGGCCATGACATCCCACTGATGTCAATCATGCCTAAGCAATGTCCCTCATTACTTCCCAGTGCTCACAGGCTAGCCCTGTAGACACTGCCCAAAGCAGTAAAATGAAACCTAGGAAGGATACAATGAGTTGGTGGCAAACAGAGTATCAGTGCTCCCTAAATCGAGGCTAGAGGAAATGCACAAGGACTAGTCCTGCGGTGCGAATTTAGAAATGAGGAACATGGCGTTTCAGTGACTTAATGCAAAGTCATCCAACCAGCCAGTGTAGAGCTCGAACCCACGTTAGGACCCTTCCTTATCACACTCAAGGCCTCTCCAGTTTACTGTGAATCTCGCTTTTTGTTGTTGTTACTTCGAATACAATTAATCCTGCACAGTGGCTTTCTATGCTATGTCATGCCCTGTCCTGAGAACATGATTGATCAAATCTTCATGAAGGAAGAAAAGGAAGTCCAGTGGCTAAACTGATGCATGTCCCAGAGTATGTAGTCAAGTAAATTCGAGTGCCTTTCAAGAGTGCTTATCAGAAGTGACTGTGTGACAGACTGTTGTTACAATGCAGGTTCTGATCTGCTGGGTCTGGAGGAGGACCTTAAAATCTGCATTTATAACCAGCTTCTAGGTAATGGATACTAGCGCACAGAACATAGTTTGAGGGACAAGGCTCAGAGTGGTTCTGTTTGTTATTTGTGTGGGACTAAGTAGTTTTTTTTTTTTTTTTGAAGAAAATACAATAAACCTTTGAAATCGTACTATGATGAAGACACAGAAAACATGATAAAAATCATGCAGGCTGACTATTTGCCAGGGTTTTCTAGGGAAACAGAAAGAATATGGTATGTGTGTATACATATGTCTATGTATACACACAGAGGGGATGGAGAGAGAGGGGGAGAGAGATTTATGATAGGAAATTGGCTCACACGATTATTGAGACCAACAAGCCCCAAGATCTGCATAGTAAGTCGGCAAGCTAGAGACCCATTGCTGCACTACTAGCCTGAAGACCAGTATAGTCAGGGAAAGCCAATGTTTCAGTCTGAGTCTGAAAGCAGAAAAAACCCTATAGCTCAGTTCAGAGGCAGCCAAGCAGGAGGAATTCCATTTTTCTCCGGGGAGAGTCAGGCTTCAGCTGATTAGATGAGGCCCACCTCCATTAAGGTGCAATCTGCTTTATTCAGTCTGCTGATTTAAATGTTAATCGAATCTAAAACAACCTCACAGAAACACCTAGAGTAATGTTTGACCAAATGTCTGGACACTTAATGGCCCAGTCAAGTTGACATAAAATTAATCATCAAAGTAGTATTACTTTGCTGCTAAT